ACTAAACAGCACTCAGGTGTGGCTGGTTGCAACAGCAGAAGCTACATAATTTATCTCAGGTTCCGCTACTTTAACAAAAAATACAAAGATCGTGACACAAAACAAATTTAAACTGTCTGACAACTTGACGACTGACGGGAAAAGAAATGACTGGTAATGTTGCTTGACACCTTGTACTGGGATACCACCTGTGTGAAGATCTGTTCCGCAACAATAACTTTAAGTTCAGCAGAAGTAAAATACAATGTACTACACATGGTGAGAACAGCCTTGCGACAGTCGAGGGCAGTGGTCTAGAGACCTATAAACAGTAGCTTTAGATAATATAACTATCAAGAAAGAGAAAAAAAACAAAATCGAATAACGGCGTCGAACCAACTTCTGCGATTGATAGAGACCTTTTATTTGGAATACAACTTGTAAGATCTGCTAGTAGGCCTGCTATTATTTTGCTACTACTATACTTTACAATAAAATTCTCTGTTCGGATACGTGCAGGGGAGGGGGTGGCTGGTTTGAACTTGGAACTTGAAGTCGTCCAGCGAGCAGTGAAATTTTACCTGCTTTATGGGTAGGCCGATGCATGTTGTTTTTTCTTGTGGGGGGGGGGGGGTTGATAACCTGGAAAAGCTGTTGCTGTTGATTTCTACTTAGTCATGTAGAGGAGTGCACCGAAACCCGGCTCTGAAATAAGGTAAATTACTATAAAGGCCACACGTTTCCAACCACAATCGCGCGACTCCGCGTGGCCCAGGCGTTTTCCTGAAAGCGTCCGTGAAGTGGGTGTGCCACTTGTTTATAGGAAGGGCCAGAAAGCGTCCCTGTGCTTTCCAACCTTGTAACAGCCAGCGCCATTTTTTCCGCATACGAAGTTGAAATGTTCATACCACCCTCCTACGTGTATTTCCAACCGGTGGATTAAATCATGCTTTTCACTTCTCGTGTGATCCCCACAGCCAACCAAAGAAAATAATGTATTATGAAATCGCCCTCTAGTGGGCGATATCGGCCAGGTTGGCAAGCTCAAGGCTGAACAATGGGTTGATATTCTTTATACTCTGTATTAGGTATGCTTACCCACCGATAAATAATACATATGGCCCAGTAGGCATATATATGTCCCGATTTGGGAAATAGATCTACCTGTTTTAAATATAATAGATGTTACTATGTAAATCTACCTGTAGTTTCGTTTTAGTAAGAGTTTTACGGCACTTTCAACACAATAAGGTTATATAAGGGCCGAAGATTAGAAGCGTTACAAGAGAGTAACCCCCCCCCCCAAAAAAAAAAAAAAAAATTAGAGATAAGGACGATAGTTGTTTGGTAGGAAAGAAGTAGCAAACCACACCAGAGCACCCGCCTTTCTTTAAAAATCTACCTCTGTATTGATGACAGAAGAAAGTAATACATGATGTATTTTTTAAAATGTACACCCCGGTAGACTATTCACTAGGCCTATAGATAATTTAGAAAGCGGGCTTCTTCGTCTTTGCTTATCAGGACCAATCAAGTCTAAGACTGAGAGGAAATAAACTCCCAGACTCCCAGCAGAGAGACTGAGTCTTTATAGAAAATCTCCCCAAACAGGAATTGAACTCACGCCTTGTGCTAGCGTAGGCGAAGCGCCTAACAACTACAACACAGACACAGGTAACGTGATATAATCCAGAGTGATAAGAAACACTAGAGTAAAAACACCAAAGTACCTCATATTAGACCACGATCATCATCATCATCAAGTACCAGGTCTGAAACTGAAACTGCCTACAGCTTTCATGATTCGTCAGTCATTTCTCCACTCCACTTGGGTAGGGCCTACTCTTATTCATTTTTTAAAAACCGTAATAAATACAGTATTGTAATTATCCCGCTTTTCCAGTCGGTCACTCTGGGTCTCCACCTGTCTCGTTTGCCTCTATGGAGAAGCATTATAATCATAATTCCCTTCACATCTTTCTCACAACACTGTTCTCCCTCAACTGCGGTGTTCCCCATCTCTACCTTTCATTTCTTAACCTTCTGGCCCTTTTCAATTGTTTGCTTTATTGTGTTATTATGCGTACCGGTATTACAAAGGAAGACAAATGACATGGAGGACAAGCGGAAATGGAAAAGGTGGGGACATCATGGAAACGGCTAGAAAAGGATGCACAGGACACGCTTCGCTGGAGAAATTTTGTTGATGGCCTATGCTCCACTGGGAGTTTAAAAGGGCAAAAGAGAGAGAGAG